ACACACACACACACACAAACGCATACATTTGTTTTTAATGTGTCTGCATTTCCTGTTGTTTTTCATTAATCTTGTGTTACTAAATTGTGTGACTTAGCACAAACCTTTTTCAGGTTGGTATTAATTCACACAATTCAAAGAGTCCGTGACGTGGACAACAGAGAATCTATAGAGACTTGTCACTGGGAACGCTGGTGTTCGTAAAGCACTGCAAAATTGTTGCACATCACCGAATAACAGACCTGAAAAACAACACACTATTTACTGCAACACTTTTTGCACTTACTAGGTTTAATATATTAATATGTAAACAGAAGTCAGTCAAAGCTCCTTTATTATAAGAAACAAAGCCAGCACACTTTTTTTAATTACTCAAAAATGACAGGATAAATCCAACACATCTAACCGACATGTTTTCTGACATTGACATTCCTTCTGAAAATCTGTTTAGCCAGGTCTAATATTCACTGCTGAACTCTCATCTGACTTTTCAATTACATATGATTGACATCAATGGGGGAAAAAACATAAGGAAGAAAAGGAAGTTGATAGGACAAAAGAAATCAAAATATAAAAATAATGAGGCTGAATTTTAAACATTAAGATACAATGGTACTGACGGATCTAAAACTATATTATGCAAACTTTTTTTTTTCCTGGACTCTTTGATCAGTACTGGGAATATTCTTTGCTCTCTAGTTTGGCAACGATTCGCTCCAGTTGTCTCTTAGCTTCACATTGCGGGAAGTTGCTCATTTCATAGTACTGAGGAGCAATCTTCACCAGCCTGTGGAGAGGAAATGCAGAACACACGTTTGTTATCAATGTGACATGACATTTAACAACAAATAGCTGCATTATTTTGAGTGTACAAAATTAGTTTGCTTGAATTTGTTTTTGTTTTTTTTACAGATTGTTTTAATCCAACATACCACTCTGGCTTGATGTCTGTACAAGTGCGGATGTAGTTCTTAGTGGTGAGGACAAATTCATTGTAGAGCACCCATTCAGGCTTGTGGTCCAATACTGTCGATGGGTGCAGTTGGACCACTTGGTTATCTTTAACTGTGAGGTAATGACCAGTGCGCTCCAAATGAGCTACCTGCAAAACGGAGGAAAGTTTGGTTTTAACAAACACAATTGTTTAGGTTTCCCTTATTGAATGCAGCAATGTGACACGGTGTCATGTTGTCAGTTGCATTTAAAGTCACTCTCCCTCTGCTTAAAAGTTGTGCCCGGTAAACGTATCATCAGTTTGTTTTTACCTGCATAAAGAAGCCGGTGCAGAGTGCCCGGCGGATGTTGATGTAGTAATCCCTGCTGGTGAACTCAGTGCTGCGACGGGGCAGGTTAAAACGATCCATGATCCTGGACAGTTGCTGCCGCACGTTGTCAGCAGACATCAGTGAACGGTAGTTGACAAAGTTGTCATAGCACCACTGGTTGGACTCATGGTCTGCAAGAAATAGAAAGATTAATAAAAACATTTAACTAATAATTCCTTTTAAATTCTCACTTTCATGAATAAAAGTCGAGTTCAAATATAATGTTGCCAATGAAAATATCCAAGTTTGGAAGTTTGCCTTGATAAAATGTTTCTGAGGTTGCCAGAAATTTGTGACATCAAAGTGAGGTCACAAGACAAAAAACTGAATGTTTTAATTGGTCTGTGTATTGATGCATTTACTGAGACACATGTTGAATTATTAGGACTTGTTGGCAACATTTGAGACCATGGTCTACAGACTGCAAACACCTATGATTGATTGATTGATTGATTGATTGATTGATTGATTAATATGAACTCATTTATATAGTACACAAGAAAAACCTGGTCCTCACTTTGTTTGAAGGCATGGTAGACGTTGAGCAGGGTCAAGTGGTCTCCGTCAATGTGAGCAAACCTCATCTTGGACTCGTCTGCTGCCTTCTTAGCCTCCGTGGGCCGGACAAAACACTGTGGGACTAAACAAGGTTGGTATGGGCCCCAACAAAGCCGCCCATAGGGATGAGTCAAACATTCAGAGAAAATAAAGGAGCAAATCCTATGATGCTACAGCTCTCGACACTGTGCTGGGACAGGGCAGGACCACAAGCTCTATCAAAAGGGAGTGCAGTCTTTTCTCATGGTCTTTCCCAACAGTACTGGCTATAAGCTCGTAGAGAGTGGGGTCATTTTAGCAAATCTGTAAAACAAGAGTTTTCACACAACTACAATCTGTTAGGAACACCAACAATGACTGTCTCTAACACCAAAACACCCCCATAGAACATTACCCCAGAAATAAGAAAAATAATTGGGGAAAAAAAAAAATCTAACTAAAACATGTCATTAAGATTCAGTCTTCAGTGGTACCTGCCCTCTCCACTTACTCAACTGAGAAAAACCCCAATTCAAAAATTATTCAAATTCAAGAAATAAAAATAATCAGCTAAATTTAGGGAAAGCATTAGCATTGGAACGTGACAGAAAAGGTTGTGACAGGATTTTTTTGTTGGTAAAACTGCAATTGAAGCTTTCGTTGGTCAATATCAGCAGATCATAAAACAACAGTTGAAAAAAAGTATTTAACCTATTTACAGTCAAATGAATAAAACAGTTTCAGTGGAGTCACGTTTAAACGTTTGTTCTACTGATGAGTAGAACAAACTGTTTGATGGTATTGTCTCCACAGTTCAACTGGTTTTCGCTGTATTTGCTTATAAAAACAGTTTTACAGCACAGAAGCTACTTATTGTAGGAGTGCAAATATGTTCTGAGTCTATAATTTGTTGAAACCAAATAACTAGGAGTTGACAGTAGATCTTCTGATTCTGAGTTCCTTCAGCTGACAACATACACAAAACGTAATTTCATAACAAGGAATTATGAAACGTTTACCACGAGCTTCACTCAGTGACAGGTTCTTGGATCAGTTCAATGAGTTTCAAAACAGATGAAAAGTGCTTGGTGACTGCTATGAGGTACTAAGTGAAAACTGGTTTCTGATCAACCAACTTTCTGACAAATAGACACTAGCATGACACGACAGCTCCAATAATGCCTGTAAAGTCCAGCAACGACACTAGCATGACACGACAGCTCCAATGATGCCTGTAAAGTCCAGCAACCCAAACAAAAAAACAAAAAAAACAAAAACAAAATATCCACAGGCTCGCTTCGACAAAATGATGATGATTTTACTGATAGCCTGGGTTTGACGTTCTCGGCAGTGTAAAGCACTTCAAGCTTTCTACACGTTAGCTTCAGCTTCCTCTCCTGGTACAGCTAGGGCCCATTGTGCAGAAAATAAGAATTTGGTGGATTCCAATAACTTTCTGTTCGATCAGTGCATCTCCAATAACCACAGAATAAATGTCTGGACTGTAATTCTTCTTGTTCTGTGACTAGATTTAACCATCCATCATTCAGACACCAGACTTAACGATAACAGCCTCTATAACAGCACCATGTCCACCTTTAGACATGGTGGCAGAGGAACGCTTCATATGCAGATGTGATGAAAATGTTTCTAAAACTTGACTTATTTTGTCATCATTAACTTGTGTAGAAAACTGCGTCTATTTGATGCTTGTTGCCGTTTCTTCACAGATGTTTTTCTAAATCTCCCTCTCAACTTCATGTCAGAATGCTCCAGCTTCCACCACTAACTGAAATGATTTCCTTTTTCCAAATATAGTTACAGGTGGTTCATTGCAGTGACATCGTCCAGGCCACAGAAATTTAGCATCGTTATGAGACAGCGTTTAATCCACGGGTAAAAAAAACAAAACTGTGGTTCTAACCACAAGTGACAGGGGTGTACAGAGAAGGAAGGAAGATGACGGCCCAGTTCTGGGCATTACCTGACAGCATGGCAGTAATTGAAAGGATCTCGTTAGAGCAGTTGAACTCGCAGCTAGCAATAACCATCTTAGCCAGCTGAGGGTCCAGTGGAAACTCTGCCATCATGGAGCCCAGCTCCGTCAGGTCGCCGTCGTCATTGAGGGCAGCGAGGTAATTCAGAAGCTCGAGGGCTCTCATCAGTGTTTCAGGAGCTTTGGTTAAGGAAGGGGCACACAGAAGGTTGAGGCAACAGTTTGAGCTTGTTCAGTGATAAATATTTATTTTAATGCAGTCTGATTTACCAGGTGGATCCATGAAGTCGAAGTGCACCAGGTCATCGATACCAAGCTTTTTCAACTGCAGGACAACGGAACCCAAGTTGGATCGAAGGATCTCAGGGTACGTGTTATCCTGTAAAATAAAACGTCATGTTAAGGTGAACAGCTGAGGAACATGTGTGAAGTTACCTTTTTCTGCTGCCAACCACAGACCTGCATTTCTGTTTTGTAAGCTTTCTCTGTGTAGAGGCGGAAACATTTCCCGGGTCGTGTTCTGCCAGCTCGGCCAGCCCTCTGCTGAGCCGACGCTTTACTGATGGCTGTGACAAGCAAAGACTCCACTCTGATACGAGGATTGTATACCTGTGACACACATGAACCGTTTAGTTGACAGAAAATGAAAAAGAAATCTGTTGACAATCATATAACAGTTTAGTCATATCTACAAAGCAACAAATCATTAAAAAAATGTCTACAACTTAAACAAGTGAAATCTTAGAACAGCAAATCAACACAACTGAAGACAACTGACCCAGATCACTTGTGCCCACCTTTTGTTTGGCAAATCCAGGATCAATCACAAACACCACACCGTCAATAGTTAAAGACGTTTCAGCGATGTTTGTCGACACTACAACCTGGAAAGAAAAAAAAAAGATTTTACATTTTGTTCAAAAAGTTCAGTGTACACAAGCTAATTATTCTTTGTCCCACTCTTTGTAATTTACCTTCCTTCCTATCGCACCATTTGGCTTTCTGGGAGGAGGTGGCTCAAATATTCTTTGCTGCTGCTGTGGCGGCAACGTAGAATACAGTGGAATGATTTTTATATCTCCAACCTCAGGGCCAAGGTCGTCAACCTCCCTCTTGATCCGTTTGCAGGCCTCGTCAATTTCCTGATGAATAAAAAAAAAAAAAAAGTTGAGCTTCTATGTTGTATTTGACAAACAGACTGACAGGCTCTGCAGCAGCAGCAGTAGAACAACAGCACCCACCTCTTGACCAGTGAGGAAAAGAAGGCAGTCACCTTCGTCTTCCTCACACATGTGAATCTGGATGACGGTGCGAATCGCTGCCTCGAGGTAATCACGCTCTGGCTCCGGGGTGTAAAAGATCTCCACTGGGTGTGTGCGCCCAGGAATGGTCAACAGGGGGCAGCTGTCAAAGTACACCTGGAACTTCCCAGCATCAAGTGTGGCGCTCATGACAATAACCTGTCAATGCACGGACGTCAGATTTGGTTAGACTTTTTGTCTAATTATTATGTGATAAAAAGAAGTTTTGCTCTTTTCAGCAACTGAATTGCAGTTAAATAGAAAAACAAAAACAAAATAATACACCAAACCATAAATTGTACAACGTTTACACCCACATTCTTTGGAATAATTTGTGTATTTTACCCCAATTTATATGATATAATACAAAAAAAAATGCAATATCACACAGAGGCCAGTATGTTTAAATGCATTAGTTATTCACATATTGAACACAGAAAATGTGTGCAGAACATGAACAACTATTCCTTACTAAATGTGACATACCTTTAGATCTCGTCTTTGACGCACCACCTCCTTGAGGACACCCATCAGAATGTCTGTGGCCAGAGTTCTCTCGTGGGCCTCATCCAGAATGATCACACCATATCGCTCCAGCAGGGGGTCGTTCATAGCCTCTCTTAGTAACATACCATCTGTCATGTATCTGAAAAAAACAGAAAGCATGTCAGGTTTAAACACTTTTTTTTTTCATTTCACTCCACCAGACCAGCAGCACCTCTGTGGTTGAATTGCTTACTTCAGTATAGTCTTTGCGGAGCTGCAGTCCTCAAATCGGATGGAGTAACCGACTTCCTGTCCAAGCATCACGTCCATTTCATCTGCCACTCTTTGAGCCACACTCATGGCTGCCACTCTTCTGGGCTGAGTACAGGCCACAGCACGTTTAGGGCCAGGCAGACCTCTCACCATGTCCACACACCACTGAGGGATCTACAGATGGAAAACAAAGGCATTCAGGAGAGATTCAAGTCCTAAACAATACATGAAGCTAATAAAAGAGGTCAAAGACTTTCTGGTTTATTAATATAATATGATACTAGTTCTAAAATAAAAAATGTCCATAATTATCCCCAACTCCTGGGATTTACATCTAGTAAACACTAACTAAAATATTGCTCAATTGGGTAATTGCAACAAACAAAAAAACTGCTGATGATTAAAGAAATAAAAGAGAAGATTCTAGACCTGTGTTGTCTTCCCAGAGCCGGTCTCTCCAACAAGGACAAAGCTCTGGTGGCGCGTTATGATGTCGCTGAAGTTCTCCTTGTACTCCCACACTGGGAGCTGTAACCTCTTCTTCAGGATCTCATAGTAACGTGGTGTGTGTGGTAGATTGGTGAAGGGATTGACCTGCTGGTGAACAGACATCTGCTTGATGGTTGGTAATGCTGCAGAAACTGCAGCCGTGCTGTTAGACGGCACACTCGACGGCTTCAAGTCTCTGTCACGATCCCGGTCTCTGTCCCGGTCTCTGTCCCTGTCCCTCGAGCGGTCCTCCCGTTCTCTATCACGATCACGGTCCCTTCTGCAATCATAGGGTTTCACATTAGAGTTTGTAGAAGCATAATGTGTGTTGAGGATTAGTTCATTGGTGAGGATTAGGCTTTGAGATAAACAGTGTCTTGGATATCAGGCTAAAAATAATTAATTGTATACACTTTACATTATACTCAAAGACACTCTACAGAAATTCATATCATGGTAATTAATCATGAACACTAATTCAAGAAGAGAGATTAGTGGAAATAAACAAACACGGCATTACAGACAATATTAACAGAAGTCTCTGCGATGTTATGCCACAGACAGACCACAGCAGATGACCTGAGTTTGGAAGATTACTGTTTAAAAAAAAAAAGAAGCAGCGGAACCATTTTATGTTATGTGGCTTAAAAGGCAGAGACGTTTAAAACGTTTAATGTTAAATAACTGATTTACCAGACCCAGTTACCATTACATTATTAGGATTAAACAGAAGTAGAAACCCAGTTTAAGTAATTTACAATTTAACTGATAACGGCCCCTACGCCTTTTATTTTATGAATTATATATAAATAACGTAGACAAATAGTTCTGTCAGAATAAATATAACACCGTCTGATTATAATTGCACATTTAAATAAGTAAACACACTTGTTATATACAAAGTAACTATGCATTCTCTTTTGGACAGGGTGGTATTTCATTTAATATAAAATAGTTCATATAAAAAAAAAGAGTTGATCAACGGGGAATTGACATTGAGTAATGTCTGTTGAATAACATATGATTGCTAGCATGCTACAGCACATCTAACACCAATTCACACATATGATTAGATACTGCATTTCAATGAATACATTAAATAGATAACATTTACGTAATTATATAGGCTTTAATTAACTTCTAGCTAAAATCCTGCAAAGTTAGCAGCGTGTTTATTGGTGCTAAAGGGTGTTAGCGCCAATCCACACATACACACGTGTTCCAGCAGTAAAGTGTCCGTGTTTCGTTTGTTTGGATTAGGCTTGCTTTGTACCTTCTGTACCAATAACTCAGATTATTTTAGCAAACAATTGTGAGTATCAGGCGGTTGTTGTCGTGTTTTTACGAAGGGCTGTCTCATTTATGAGGTCAAAGTTGCTGTTCCATTGTCTGTGTTTTCATTTCACATCCACGATCTGTTAGCCAAGTTACTAGCATTGGCTAACAGTGTGTTAGCACCAGGGCGGCAAGCTCTGAGCGGCGGACAGTAAAGCTGCACTCACCCATCAGACCTCTTCTTACTGGTGGAGTAGTCGTCACCTAAATCCAACCGATGTCTTTTGGACATCTTTACAGGTAAATGTGTGAGTTCAATTCAGTCAAATGACACGAAATGGATTCTGCCGGGGTGGTATAACACAATTAAGGTTTCCTGGTTGCTGTGTGCTGCTGGTTCTTCTCCTTCTCTTTTGCAAATTGGCGGACACCAATTGTGGCAAAAGCACACTACTGCCATCTGTTGGACCTGTGGGTGGATGGGGAAATAAAAGTGCTTAGCAAAATCAACAAAGTTTAAGGTACAAAACGCATAGTTTTCCACAAAAGTAACACAAAAGAAAGAAAGAAAGAAAAAAAAACACAAAAACTAATTATTTCATTCAATTACTTTTATTCCTTATAAATGTCACTTAACAACATGTAGTTGGCAGAATTGCACAAATTATACATCACAAAAGGCTTTAATCCCTTATGCTAGGGGCAGTGGTGGCTTAGTGGTTAAGGAAGTGGAAGGCTTCAAGTTCGAGTCCACCAGCTACCAAGTTCCCACTGAGGTGCTCTGAGCATGACACTGTCCCCACACACTGCTCCCCGGGTGCTTAAAGCTGCCCACTGTTCACTTTGGTGATGCAGTGTTGTGCTGTGTCACAATGAAAAATAGTTCACTTTCCTTAAAACACTACAACAGAATTATTCTAAGATCATTGAACACATTATTTTAAGCTTCAGGCATGATGAAAAAAGCAAACATATCAAAATGTGGGAGTTCATCTCCACCTCCAGTCAGCCACTCCCCCTCCTTACTCCTATAAGAAAAACCCTTCAACACCGTCTTACAGAAGGAGCAAAAGACCAGTGACCAGGATCTGTTCTCCTGCCTGTTTCCACTGCTCACCATGCTTGTACACAGGTAAGATGATTGTTTCTCTTTTTTTTTACATCAGGATGTCCTTCTAATTTTGTCTCTTGCTTTTCTTTCCTTTTATCGTGTGTATTCTACATAAAAGTAAAAGGAGCCTCCAAGGACATATTTGTCCCTATATAACAGCTCTGGAAAAATAAAATAAAATAACTACAATATAATGCCATTGATAAATAGTACATGTTTATGCTTACTGTAGCATATCACACAATAAATGTACTGATGTGACTTCCGTTTAAAAGTTTTGCGGAAGTTGCACATATATTTTAAACCTTCTGTTTTTTCCTACCTCATGGAAATGAAAATATCTATAAATCTAACATTGTGTCCTGGTGTTTCTGACATATTACAGGTTAACATATGTACGCCCAGGCCTGCTCATTCTCCTGGCAAGCTGTCAAACTCTCTTGGTGCACAGTGCACCCCCTGAGGTTTCCCAGCAAAATGGCTTCTGGTATGCAACCTGTAAAATGCAACTCCACAGCCCACCAGCTGAGGGCTCCCCCACCATAACCGGTGTTGTGGGTTTTAAACAAGAATGCCCAGTGAGCAAGCTCAAGGTCCTTGTCTACTTGAAGGGCTTTTCATACAATGATACTGCGCCAAAGAAACTGCACATACATCAGTACGGAGACCTCACTGACGGCTGTACCTCTACTGGAGCTTACTACAACCCTCGTGGTGTGGACCATCCCAACCACCCAGGAGACCTGGGGGATGTTATTCCTCACAATGGAACTGTCTTTGCAAAATTAAAGTCTAGAGCCACACTGTTCGGAAAGGAGTCTGTGATTGGTAGAGCAGTTGTGTTACTCGCAGGGAGGGATGAGCTTGGAGTAAATAAAGCTAGTCGACTGGATGGAAATGCAGGCCTAAGAGTTGGCTGCTGTGTCATTGGAATTGCCATTCGTCGTCAACCTCCCTCCTGATGCCATTTGAACGTGTCATTGAACGGGCAAAACACACAAACACACAAACAGGGTGAAAATTTGGCTGTGGGAAAATCAAATTAATTCTGACAGGGATAAAGGGTAAATCATAAAGGGTAATCATTTAATCGTGTCCTCATGTATTTTCCAACAAGGGCTCTCTGTGTGCTTTAATGACAGAAATATTTGATGAATATTTACATTTAGCAGCAGAAACTAAAGGCTACAATGGCTTTGGGGTGACTATAGATGAGAATGGATTCTGTTTAAAAACAAAAACAAATAAAAATGTGCTGGATGAAGTGATTCTTGACATTGTTTTTTAAACGACCAAAGGGAAATGAGGTAAAAAACAAAAGAAAAAGGGGATTTGTTTTCTGAGCAACATCCCCTTTCTGTTGATGGGCAGCTGAATGCAGCTGTTGCTCTACAATACAATTGTCACTAGAAAAAATATACTAGCAGTGAAATGACGAAATACACATGTCGAGAGGTATAAATTCAGACCTTGAGTCTAAGGCATGAGCTCCAAGTGATTAAAAAACATCTTCACGATTACGTCCTGTTGTAGATGTAAACACTTGCATGCTTTCTCACTAAACCACCTGTCCACATCTCCAACACGGCTGAGCTCCCGACATTGTGACAACTACTGGTACAAATGTGAACAGTTACAGTTACAGCTGTACAGAAGATTATATTAGACCTGGTGTAAAAATGCTGTGCTCAACATAAAAACGTGAGATTACAACATTAAAAACACACACCTTATATCAGTATTAATGAAAGTGAAAATAATATAGATTCTGAATACCTGGTCCAAAATCCAATTCAAGATGATCACATCCCACACTGTGACAGTGAAAGACAGACAGAGACCACACCACTTCCTTACAAGAGATAAACAGTAGTTTATCATGTGTCAAATAATCTGTGTTTTTTTTTAATATATATACTTTTTTCAGCTACATATGTTCTCGTTAAATAAAATAAAGCTATCAAGTTATAAACGTCATTTTTATGACTAGCGCTCTTACATCAGAGTTCCTAATTCACATTATTATGTAAAACCTCAGTCTCCAGGTTTGGTTGGTTGTTGACTTGTTGCCCTTTAGCATCAGCATCACTAGAGCTGTCCTCCGTAATGAAACACTTAACAGTTTCATCCAGCCCCTGGTGGCCGTCCGACTCATCTCCGTGTCCATCCAGAGACTGTGTGGTTTCTAAAGTTATTTGTGGAGTAGCTGGTGGATGGGCAGTGTTTCTTTCTAACGCTGTAGATAGGTAATCACTCGGACTCTCCTCTTGGTTTGGTGAAGGAGTTAGATCCACTGGGATCTGGGTGATGTCGTTTGGTATCTCGGTCTCAGGGTTCTCCCGCTTGTCATCAGTCGGATCTTCAGTGTGGTTCTGTTCAGAGTGCTCAGAGTACTCCTCAGACGGTGCTGCACTCTGGGATTCAAATGTATTTGTTTTTTCACAGTCTGTATTTCCAGCATCGGGTGAGTTCTGCTGTTCTGGAATTGTGTTTTCAGCGCTGTCATCTGTGAAAATCGACGAAGGAACAACATTATAACAACATTAGTATAAATATGAATATAAATGTAAACATGAGATAAGATGAAATGAGCTGACATGAAACAAGATTAGATGGCATGACATGTGATTATATAAAATAAAATGTCTATGTTGACCGTCGTATACCTTTGTGTCCAACAGACTGTATTGTGTCCCTGATGATGATGGTGTCTTTTCCTCCTATCAAGACAAGAATATTGATATTACAGTCATTTTCATTTGGTTTATCATAGGCAATAAATACACATGATAAGAAAATAAACGTTATCATCTTTAGTCTCCATGTTCATGTTTCTGCAGCTAAAACGCAGATTAAGGAGAAAAGAAATAGGCAACTTCTAATAGTCATAATTAATCTATAAAGATTTTCCTGTGGGGTATATTGTCCAGAGACTTGACAAACACACTTTACTGGTTTGATTTGAGTTTCCAACTGTAGTTTCAACAAACGTGAGAGACGGATAAGAAAAGAAAAAAGATGATTTTTTTTCTGAGATTAATATGCAGTTAATAAAAAAACACACTACCATTGATGCCCAGAGACACATTATAAGTCAGACCTTCAGGCAGCCAGAAGACATAGAGGACATAGAAAGAAGAACACAGGAAAATAAAATTACTTTCTCGTACAGAAATGCTCTTTAAACGTATCTGTTGGGACATATTCAAGATACTCTAAAGTACCGGGAAGTCTCCATAATCCTGACATCTCTAGTGTTTTCAGCTTCTTTTCCAGTTCTGCAACTCGGTTGCCAAGAATCCTGATAGTTCAAAAATTAAAAAAAAAAATTAATATTCTGCCAGCTGCTACAACATGAAACAGTTCTAGATTATCAGACGTTATCAACACAACAATTCCATACTTGTTGATTTGTCGCTGGTGCTGAATCACCATGTTCTTCTCGTGGATGGTTTCCAGCAGAGCGGTGGCCAGAGACTTGAGGTCCGAGATTGACTGAGGAGTCACCGGCAGACTGCAGCCGTTCTCTTCAGACAGCAGCAACTCCTTCACTACAACCACAAACGCACAATCAGTGACGGCTGGGCTCAAATGTACAACAGGAACGACAGAAGTTTTCTGACCTTGTCTGGCAGAGAGAACCCCGGTCAGTGCACTACTGTTGGCTTTACCACTGATGGTGGAGTTCTTCCTGCACTCCAGGGCGCTCTAAAATATGTCATGTATAATAGAGTAAAAGAACACAAAAAAATACATCTGTGCTACTGGTGAGTTTTTAAAAAAAAAATATTTACCTTGTACTTGGTCAGATTGGTTTTGAGCAGATTGGCCTCCTGCTGCAGTTGACTGAGTCGCTCGTGCAAATACCTGCAAGAAGCAGTTCGATTTAAAACCCTGATATAGAAATCCCAAGGTTTGCAGTGTTTCGTCACCAGGTAAGTGACAAGATTATTTTTTAATTGGCCCGCCCTTTAATTTTGTTATAGCATGCATTAAACACGGGATGGCATTTTTTGTCAGGTTAAGATGACAAGAGTTCTAATTAATATTTAATAAGAACTTATTTTAATAAATCAAGAGTCAGAGCACTGCATACAGTTCACTTCAGGCCACCTCTGAGATACTTCTTCATCACGGGTTTTAAAAACAATTAGATCTTAGAAGTCTCTTTAATGATAAAGATTGAACATCTTTAACTTAACATGTTGCTACTGGTTCACAAGATTTTGTTCACAAGACAGTGACCTCAAAGCACTGGTAATCCAAGAGAGCAATAACCTATAGGTGAAGTTAGCACAAAGCTACCCTTTCAACCCCTCTGAGTGTTTCAGCAACATGGTAAACTTTGAGACGGTCCCTTAAACTTAGTGCAGGCAGCTGTCAATCATCAAACTGATATTATATAAAAATAAATATATAGTATATAAATACACCTGTTCTCCACACAGAGGGCGTCAATGTCCAGGAAGCGAATCTCGTCATTGCCAACGATGTGGTTTATCTCCACATTAAGTCGATGAGCTTTCTGCTGAAACACGTCCCTCTCTGCCCGAACATCCTGAAGCTCATCGGTCAGCGACCTCACACTGTTCTCCAGCACATGGTTCTACAAGAACACAAATAGATTGTGTTGATATATGAATAGACAATTAGTCCCCATTATAATGTCTTATATTGTGTTCAGATTAGGTTTGTCATCAGTCGTCACCTGTTCTCGTGCTGTTTCTAACTGTTGGACAAGATCCTCACGTTCATGCGCAGCAAAATGTCGGGCACCGACCTCCTCATCCCCCAGCCTCTGTTTGGTGATGGTCATACGGAGGAGCTGCAGAAACAGGATGACCTTCTGATTATCGCCCACATCAGACACATATATATATATATATATATATATATATATATATACTACTGTATACATATACAAGAATTCAGAGAAGTAAACAGAGACATAATGTTTCTGTCATCTCAGATCAGCCACTAACATTTGTATTTACTTTAGAAAACATGTAAGCTATAGAACCACAGTTACGGTTAGAGGATATGTACAGAGTACCTTGATAAACATGTCTCTGTGTATGTTTCATGTGTTTGCAGTTGACATAAGAAGATCATCTCTCCTGGCTACTCCTTCAAGGTATTTGACTGGACCTTTATGTAAACCCTCCTTCAAGGTATTTGACTGGACCTTTCTGTAAACCTTCCCACCTTGTTATCACCCTGAGCTTCCACCAGTCGCTGTTTCAGCTCCTTCACCTCCTCAGACAGTTGATGATTTTTATCTTTGGAGTCTCTCAGTAGCTGGGCAAGATTCACCTGACCAGCACATGAACATAAGGTCACTATACAGACTTCTTTAGAAATTAGATGTAAGCTGAATAAATAGATTATAATAGAAAAAGAAAGGAAAATTCTGGTTATGTTTGTTTATCTTTTATTATTTGTTAAAATAGGAATAATAATAATAATAATTTATTGGGAGTGACTTACTTGATTTCTTTTTTCTGGAGGTAGAGAGGGATCACCATCCTGTTAGTAGGAAAACAAAGGAAAATGTCAACTTTTTAATAATATCCTGTTAATAATAACAGTATGACATTAATGCTAGATCATGAAAGAACTATTTATTTCAATGTCAACTGATTTAAAAAAAAAGGTTATTCCATTAAGTTCATCTACTTTTTCCAATCAACTGTTTAAAAATCCCTGATAGACAAAAGAAAACCAAGCTTTAATTTGAATGTCAAAAAGTCATGACCAACACAGACAGACAAACAGAGAGAAAGAGAGACTTCTCCATATCTTACAATGAGCTCTCTGTATTTCTTCTTGAGTCCCTGGTGCCGCTCTCGCAGCTGGTTGGCCATCAGCTGGTACTGGTCCCTCTCCTGCTGACAGGTATCCAGCTCCTTGGACAGAATCAGAAAAGCGTCCTTCTTGCTCTCCAGTTTCTGTTTGCAAACCACAAACTGGAAACAAAATATTGAGTATAATATATTACAATTACTATAAGTGAACGACCTACGAACCACATGATGGAGGAGTGGTTTGTGCTCTTGCCTTACAGCTAGAAGAACACAAATCTGATCACTGTTTTGACCCCTGGTCTTTCTGCACAAGATGTTATGTTTTCCCGGTGTGTGGGTGGGTTTTCTACTGTGGTCAAAAACATGCTGTCATGTAAATGTTCACTTTAAACTGACCATAGGTAAAAATGAGTGTTGACGGCTGTTTGTCTCTATATGTGACCCTGCCATTGACTGGTACAGTGTCCAGAGTGTAGGCGTCCCTTGTCTGATCCCAGAAATTAGGGTGGTTTAATATTCACACGTTATTTCAATAAAAATGCTTTTAATTATGTCACCATAACGATCCTGTAATTCTGGAAAAAAGGCTTTCAATATCTAATACAATGCAGTCATTTATTATTTATCACAGAAAAAAATGTATTTGCATTCAAGTAAACTTTGCAAATTAGATTAACGTTTATCATCTTTCCCTTTAAGAATTCTTAAAATATTTATCGTAACAAAAACTTATATATAACATATTCATACACTATAATAGATACAGCAATTTCAAGTGTCATGTTGTATTTTATTTCAATAGTAACATACATTACATAGTGAATACCCTGAATAACTGTATAACCTCAGAATAATTATGCAGTTGTTGGGATACGTGCCACGAAAGACCACGATAAAATGTCAAAGCCCAATTATATAGTGGGATGTGTGGTGTATTGAATGTCAAAAAGACGTTGGGCTCTGCTGGCACAAGGTGAATGGGAAAAATCTCTTCTCCTTGATATCAATTCAAAACAGATTGAGGGAAAACAGATCCAGATTTCATTTGTCTAAATATTTACTCTGAGTCAGCGTCAATAGATGCGGGGCTTACGGTGTGTTTCCTCACGTCTCACCTCATTAATCAGCCCCTGCCAGTCGTCCTCGCTCCTCCTGGAAGGTTCCATGATTCTCGACGATCCAGAAAAAAATAAAAAATAGTAGAAAAAAAGGTTTTATCGGAGGTGTCGTTTTAAAATAACATTTTGTTTTCGTTGCGTTTACTGACAAGTAGCATCATGAGCACACACGAAGTGGATTAGGTTAAGGATGGTTATCACGCCCTACGTCACATCCGTTTGTTACACCGTCACAGTGGCGTTGTGATGCGTTTGAAGACACTGGCAAAAATAATAATATACGGTGTCCTGTTTCATCTGAACTACGCCGTCGTCACAAAAGTGAAGGAAATCGAGGCACTACATTAAAAAAAAATCATCATTCGATCATTTTCACTTGTGTTATTACTTTCACTACACTAACCATTTGTTATAGTTAACAAATAAATACATATAATACACTGCTAATTGTTCCCCAAAAAGAAGAGTTTGCTACAACAAATACAACAAAACTATCCAGAAGAATGGAATTAATTATTTATTATATATATAATATATATATAATAAGTAAAATATTTGTCCTTAATATCATAATTTGTTTTATTGTCGTTTTTGGTGAATATAAACAAATCAAAATATAGATTTGAGATTGTATTTAATTCATAGTTAGAATTTTCAAGTATTCTAACTATGTGTGTGGGGGGTTAGAGGGCGTTAATAAAAAAACAAGGTTTCATCACTGAACCCAAGAGAAATAAACTCCAGCCATATTTACACAGTATCAAGTTTATTTCAATTTAACAGCTTCCAGCTGCTGCAGCATGTTACAGTTAACAGCGTCTTTAGCTTTGATCACAATATTACACTTCAATCTCAGAATCCTTTCAGATGTTATCAACTGTATTTCAGTCCAAGCTAAAGTAGTGAGATTACATGTTTACAAGACGTGAAAAAAGTTATAAAGCAGCATATGGCTCCACGATTGTAGTAACACTTAGTATTGCACATTTTGCATAGAAAAAACAGTAAATTATATTTACTCCGTCATTCAAGCTTGTAACAGTTTTTAAGGCTTAAGCTTATAATGTTTACCTAGCGCCACAGTTTTCTCAAAACATTTGACCACATCACAGTTAGCAAATAACATTTAGTCCGGACGACAAGTTTTTTTTACAAATCGCAGCAATTTTAAGTCTAGTTCACACACAAGAATTCGATTTTAATCTAATCAGATCTGTATTTAACATAAGGAACCACATGGATTGTGTTTGAAATGGTCCTCTATTTGACACCTTGAAATCTGTGTGAGGAGACCAGGAAGACTTATTTGATGGACGCCGAAGCAGTAGCCAGCGCCTGTGAGTGTCATTACGCGATATGCCATTCTTTACATGCTGTCAACATTGCAGCAGTTGCCTGTACTGATACATTCATACAGTAAGTACTTTAGTTGCTAGTAGTTCGCTAGGCAATACAGTAAGGCTGGGCGAATCCAAGTGCAAAAGGAGAATGAAGGAGGTTCAGGATGGTTTATAGCATACATGTGATACTGGTCTGTGAGACCAGTTCCTATTATTGAGTATCTGGTTTTGCATTACAAGCTTAGATCTACTGCAATATGCTCGAAAACTATCGATTTGCCCTTGAAGCTTGGAGAGAAGATGAAATTTCTCCTTTCATTAGTCACCACCGCGAACGACCGAGGTGACTGCACGTAAATGTCCTTGAACTTGTGAAAGGTTTTGCTCTCCACATCCCAAAGGTAGATCTGGGTAAAAGAGTAATCACTGCCCAGAGCCAGGTAGTGTCTGTCCCTGAAGGCGAAAGGCTGAAGGATCATGGATCCTCGAGAAGGCAGAGTCTGGACCTCAGTGAACTGCTTGTTGGTCCATTTAAGGACTTTGGAATCACCAATGTAGCAGGTCATAGCCAGAAACAGCTCACCGTCCACCCTGAACGCTTTCACTGCCACCATGTCGTCTACATTTGGAATTTCACCATGGAGTGTGAATTTTTGGGAGTTTTTGTTCCACAGGTAGATGACAGGTGGCTGAGACCGACTGGTTAAGATGAGGTAGGACTTCCCATCCACCTCCACGTACTCAGCATCGGTATCTCGAAACCACTCATGGAGGAACTGGTAGGAGTTGAAACCGGTTTCGTTGCGGTCTGGGTTGTCGCTCCATTTGTACAAAGTAGACAGTCCAGCTTTGGAGCTGTCCACAATCACAAAATACCAATCACCGTCGATCTGGAAGACCTCGATGTCGTTTGGCTTTGAGATGTTGAAGACTTCGATGGTTTGAAACTTGGTGAACCGGTTCTGTTGCTCATCAAACCTGTAGATGTGGGAGCCGCCGAAGAGCTGAGTGACAATTATCAGGACATGGTTGTCAATCAGGACGGACTTACATCCAACAACTGATTTTCCTGTGAGGAAAAAATAACACAGATAACACAGAGGCATTATATTTTTGAGGACATATTTCATATATGCCTAATACAGTATTTTACCAGTGCAGTTAAAAAAAAATCAGGTTTCCATGTATACCACCAGAGGGAGACCAAGTACAACAATGGTTTGTGTACCATAATTTGAGAACCATTGTAACCCAGCTATATACAGTATATATAAATATATATAAAAGGAAATAATTAAATAAATAAAGTGACGAGAACTAGTCATTTTTATAAACTAGTACTTTAAGTCTACATAGATGTATATCCTTTAGTGTGCAATGTTCAGACCGTTGTCCTAGAACAAAAGGTCAAGTTTAGGTCACGCTCACATTAAGCACTGTATGTTCCAGTAGCTGCCAATACAGTGCTGTCTGCTGGGGCTGTTAATAACCTCATCCACAGTCAGTCAGATATGATTTGAATTGTGTTCAATTAATAAGGAAATAAGACATATTTGGCTTTCACAGTATAAAAAGAAATACAGGTCATAATAACTGCTGGATTGTGGTATTTTTTGTTGGACCAGGGCAGCAGAAAAACACTGCTTCAACCAATTGTATTTTTTGTTGGACCAGGGCAGCAGAATCATCAAAAAAACAAAAAAAAAACACCCCGACCCCAAACCTGTGATATTGTCAAATTTTCTGAAATTCATCTCGATGTGATCCCACTCCATGATCACACAGCTGTTGGTGTTCGGAGCAGCCATGGCGACGTAGATGTCCTCTTTAAAAGAGAAGATATCTGCTGACATGGACTGAATGGGTATGGACTGATGACGCACAAAGTCTGTAAAACACGAGCACATGCAGCGTGAGCCTGCTGACTAAGGGAAATACAACATGAATACAGCATTTCTACAGTCGGCCTAACAGTAATATTAATATCATGAGTCAGAATCACAGCACAGCGGTAACTTACAATAAATATAACAGCTCATTTTACCACATTTATACTTCTCTCTTCTTTGTACAGTAGGCGTTTGCATGTGTACGTGTGCTAATGGGACATGGCTCTTTCTTCCTTTCCTTCACCTTTAACTGTGCACTTGTCATTGTACCTGTGGACATGCATTCGCCCGGTGGAATGGGAAGGTCACTGAGACGCTTGTCCTTCATGTCACTGGGACCGGCACAGAACACATCCGATACTGTGGCGTTTGTGTTTTTCAGCCACACCATCAACCACTTGTTCTCACAAGTGCATTGGAATAGGTTCCCTCGTAGGTCCCTGATGACCCACAACGCAGAGGAAAACATTTACATGTTGTAAAAACTTCATCAAATAATGATGAAGTCTTTATGATGAGAAAAACAAAAACCATCCCAGATAAATCCACACATGAACTACTGTTTAAATACTCTCTCTCCCTCTCCCTCTCTCACACCCACACACAAACTGCTGATGCTACAACTGCTTACTCACAGCTCCAGTAATGAATCCAAGTCAAAAAAAAGATCTCTTGGCAGGAATCTCATCTTGTTATTGGCAAGAGAGCTAAGAGTAACGACAGGAGAGAAGAGCACAGCATTAACATGGTGGCGTTGTTACATTACCTTTGTTGGTGTTGGTGTTGGTGTTGGTGTTGGTGTTGGTGTTGGTGTTGGTGTTGGTGTTGGTGTACTGCAGTGTAGTAGAGTTGACTGCACTGCCAGTCCATACAGACAACATGACAGACTTACAGATGAGTCAAGTCTCGCAGACCGCGCAGAGCGTTCTTGGTGATGGTCTCGATCTTGTTTTCTTCAATGAATCTGTTGAATGGACGGTGGAGTTTCATGTTTGTGGACAGAAACATGGCACATTACGCTGCGTCATCATAATGTCAGTACATGTCAAAATGAAAACACAGCATTGAGTAGTTTTGACTAGTTATACAGGTGTGTGGAGTTAGACACCGTCTTCAAACCTGAGGATGTTCTAGTACTCTCTAAGTACACTAAACCATGACTACTGACGAGATGAACATGGTCTAAAGAGCCAAATACTCACAAGTACTCCAGATGTGGGAGACCAGAGAAAGCGTCATCTTTTATTGTAGATAAAGAATTTGCTTGGTAAAGTCTGCAAGAAAACAACAACAATATAAATAATAAAACAAACAAACAAACAATAATGACGATTAAAAGACATCTAAAGGAAATTCAAAGACTTTTTTATTCAATATACAATAAAAACAACATGAATTTCCATCACTGTTATCACTGGGGGATGCGGCGGACAGGGTAAACTCACAAGAGCTGCAGAGACGGCATGAGTGAGAACATCCCCTCTGTAATTTCAGGAATGGATCCATTCACCATACTCCTGTACAAAAACAATAATAACAATAATCACAGTTGAGTTCCTCTCTGCACACAGCGGTCCAACTCTGCAGCAGGGTTTTCAAATCGGCCCTTAAATCAGAAGTTCCTCTCTGCACACAGCGGTCCAACAGCAGGGTTTTCAAATCGACCCTTAAATCAGTCGAGCAGTTTTTTTATCATTACTTACAATGAACTGGATGACTAAACAATAAACGATTACTCACAGTGAGGTGAACTCGCTCGGTACCGTCCGTGGGATTGGTGTGTTACCGACGCAGATGATGGTCTCCTTGGTACAGGCGCATCCTGAAGGACACTTGAAATTCCTTTTGGCTCCAGATGTAACACGGAGACACGCGAGTACCAACAGTGTCAGGAGTGTGAGTTTGGTCGATGTGTTCATGTTGGTGTTCTGTCGGGGTCCACAGAAAGATCCGGAGGCCGAGGCTGAGAGTAACGGCTGAACTAGTCTGAACAGCACGGCATCAGAATGCAGAGGCAGCAGCAGCACTGAACAGCCGGGCTTCAGAATGCAGAGCCAGCAGAGGCAGCAGCAGCAGCGGCAGCAGCAGTACAGTGGTGGATGGAAACCCCTGACACAGACCGACACGGACTGCAGCGCCTCTTAAGGCTTGTCAATAACGTTGTACGACTTTGTCGATAATCAACAATAATCTCATTCACCGATGAAACATCGTTGTGTAACGTATTCCTATCAGAGTAACCACGTATAAAACAGGACTCTACTGTTGGAAAGGGTTGTTAATAATTGTTTTACATTTATTTGGAACACATTATTCTATTCACCTACATTGGAGTATATGTGCAGTTTGACAACTCAGCCGCTAGAGGGAAGCACTTGATAATCAAACGATTAAGGAAAGTCACGTAAGTAGAAGTTATTTAACAGTGGAAACAACAACGTCGTTTCAACATTTTTTCTTCTTACTGTGTACATACGGGTGGAGTAAAATAAATGTTTGAAACAGCCTGAAGCAGAAAATACTGTTCGATTGTAAAGTTGTGGCAAAATAGTTTAATCATTTTTGTTTACTGAGTTTAGCAGATGAGAGTTTTAGTCTTCAGATGTCTTTAAAGCAAAGTGAAGAGCTATATAGAGCTATATTTCATAAAAATAACAACAGTATTTTCATCATAAATACTGAGTATTTACATGAAAAGCAAAACAATAATGAGATGTGCAGTCAGACAGACAGATGGGTTGGAGGACAGAAGAAGAAATGACAAAAACATACTATTTATCTTAAATATCGCTATTTACCAATTCATTAAAAAAACCTCTCTTGTTTGTCTATAAAATCCACTTTTTACACTAAAAAAACAGTTTTACTGTTCAGCTGCTGAAACGGTCACAAAACAATAGGGTTGTTAGTTGTAGCAGCAGACCCTAACAAGGTGCTGACCTTTGCTGAAGGACCAATGGTCTATAAACACGAGTGAAATCAGATACCCAATGCCAGAAGTGAGCAACCGTACATGTCTGCCATTGCTGGCATAATTCATGACAGCTCCACATCTAGCATGACTGTTTTTATGTCACCGTATCCCTGAAACATGCGGGACACGTGCAAGACGAAACCAAATGACGCCACAGCAAACATCTACTCCTGACATGTTGATCGTCATATAATTATACTTTGCACATGTTTGGACACGGTAAGATGAGCCTCCAGTCTTTTGCTTAGTCACAAAACGACAAACCACATCTTTGAGCGTGCATTTGTAACGTCGGTTGCTGTAACAGAAAAAAAAAAAACGTCTTGACTCGAGAACAGGGGTGTCAAAACTCAAATTCACTGTGGGCCAAAATTAATATTTATTAAAAAATTGACATAAATTGTTCATGTTTTCCCTTCTCTTCAAATCTGTAATGTAGAATGTTTTCTACAATGTAGACCCTTCTCTAGAACGACCAAAGCTTAATATTACAAACACATGAGAAATTAAATGTGAAATTAAACACATCGGTGATATTTGTTTCTTATTATGTCTCTTTATCTGTAGCCTTTCCAGTTCTTTTTAAATGTAAATCTTTTATTCCACTGAAAAAACAAAAAAGAAATGTTATAACATAGCACCTACACCACTAATACTACAATTTCAAACATTTGATATGATTTCCCGGGCCAAATATAATTACAATGCGGGCCAGATTTGTTTAATTCATGTCTTCTAGTACCATATCATATTTTTATTAGCCTTGGGACGCATCTGTTAAACATTTACTATTTTGAAATACTGGGAAATGATCTCTACAGATCAGTAATTCTTCGGCTGTAAATCCTTCTAGCACAGATTGGATTCATGCACTTCATGACAGATGTCAAGGGTCGATGAAAGTGCAACCCAGGTGCTGCCCGTCTGCCAAAAAACATGGCTCCGATGTTTTATAGTTGACGATATGTACGGTATTCAGGTGATACGAGAGTTCACATGCGCTGACCTTTTAGGTTTCCCCTGCTTCTAAAGTGTCAGGAGCTCTGACTTAGTCATACGGTGTCAGAGAAAAAAAAAAAAAACTGAGCGTGTTTAAAAGATTTTACTTCATTTAGAATTGAAACATGGAAACATGACTGTGATTAACACTCCATTAGCTGCACCGGTCGTCTACTCTTATTAAAGGACTTTAATCTGACGAGTAGAACTCTGTGTTTTTTATTTATCTTAGTTTATGTAACAATGTCATTGCACTTATGTCAACCACCACTTTAAATCATAACTTTTTTTTTGTTTTGTTTTCTGTTTTAAAAAAATCGTTTAAGAATTTTCCAAGTATGTTGTTAATACGCCCTCTGGTGGACCAAACTGGATTGAAACACCATGGAGAAGCAAAGGTATTTATGACAAAATATCAAACCACAGGCCCACTGACACACCGTGTTATATGACAAATAAAATTTAAAATAAAAATCAGTGCTGACTGATGACATAAATGGGGTAGAAGGAGAAAAATACATTAACAAAAAGCAATAAAATAATTCAACCTAACCTAATTTTCTTATAGATTATTAGAACACAGATGATGTTAAATACTATAATACGACTTATTATTACAGCTATTATGCAGAGTTGTGTTTTCCCCTCAGTTGAAGTCAGCAGTTGTTGATGGATTACAGTTGTGTGTAGAATTTCATCATGGATGACTGAAAGTGTTTTGTCGTTATCCGTGGTTTGGGGCGACGCTCTGATCTCCTACATCCACCAAACCGCCTCACAAATGACACTTTCAAATCCAAAGATGCCCTTTCACCCTTCGACCACGAAACACATGAGGCCTGGGCCACACTTGGGGTGGGCCTGATGGGGGGGTAATGTGGAGAAGTGCAGAGTCTGGCTGCTGGTGACTTCTTCACAGCAGGTGCTGAGGCTCTCAGACTTCTCCAGTTCCGTCTTTGAAACTACAGAAGAAAACCCTCAGTAGAACTGATAGACGGCACCGAAAAACGAATCACGATCGTAAGCTAACGTTACGTAAAAACATATAATAAAAAAAACATGAACACTGATAATTGTGAAATTAATCAATTAAAACTGCCAACAAACAAATTAATAATCCCCTAATTCCGTCCGCTCTGTAATCTCCCACTGTGACCGACCTGCTGCTACAGGCCCACGTAGGCCGCAGCAGCACGTGTCGACTGTGAACCCCGTCACTGTAAAATCAGCACTTGTTAACGCTGGACGACCCGCTCCGTTATACTATTCAAGCAGATCTCTAGCACACAGTTATTTTTAGGGCAGGTAGATATCGCCGTCTCCATAAAAAAAAAAAAACTGAGCGTGTTAAAAGATTTTACTTCATTTAGAATTGAAACATGGAAACATGACTGTGATTAACACTCCATTAGCTGCACCGGTCGTCTACTCTTATTAAAGGACTTTAATCTGACGAGTAGAACTCTGTGTTTTTTATTTATCTTAGTTTATGTAACAATGTCATTGCACTTATGTCAACCACCACTTTAAATCATAACTTTTTTTTGTTTTTTTTTTCTGTTTTAAAAAAATCGTTTAAGAATTTTCCAAGTATGTTGTTAATACGCCCTCTGGTGGACCAAACTGGATTGAAACACCATGGAGAAGCAAAGGTATTTATGACAAAATATCAAACCACAGGCCCACTGACACACCGTGTTATATGACAAATAAAATTTAAAATAAAAATCAGTGCTGACTGATGACATAAATGGGGTAGAAGGAGAAAAATACATTAACAAAAAGCAATAAAATAATTCAACCTAACCTAATTTTCTTATAGATTATTAGAACACAGATGATGTTAAATACTATAATACGACTTATTATTACAGCTATTATGCAGAGTTGTGTTTTCCCCTCAGTTGAAGTCAGCAGTTGTTGATGGATTACAGTTGTGTGTAGAATTTCATCATGGATGACTGAAAGTGTTTTGTCGTTATCCGTGGTTTGGGGCGACGCTCTGATCTCCTACATCCACCAAACCGCCTCACAAATGACACTTTCAAATCCAAAGATGCCCTTTCACCCTTCGACCACGAAACACATGAGGCCTGGGCCACACTTGGGGTGGGCCTGATGGGGGGGTAATGTGGAGAAGTGCAGAGTCTGGCTGCTGGTGACTTCTTCACAGCAGGTGCTGAGGCTCTCAGACTTCTCCAGTTCCGTCTTTGAAACTGCAGAAGACTCAGAAGAAAACCCTCAGTAGAACTGATAGACGGCACCGAAAAACGAATCACGATCGTAAGCTAACGTTACGTAAAAACATATAATAAAAAAAACATGAACACTGATAATTGTGAAATTAATCAATTAAAACTGCCAACAAACAAATTAATAATCCCCTAATTCCGTCCGCTCTGTAATCTCCCACTGTGACCGACCTGCTGCTACAGGCCCACGTAGGCCGCAGCAGCACGTGTCGACTGTGAACCCCGTCACTGTAAAATCAGCACTTGTTAACGCTGGACGACCCGCTCCGTTATACTATTCAAGCAGATCTCTAGCACACAGTTATTTTTAGGGCAGGTAGATATCGCCGTCTCCATTCTCAGCCATCACTCCATTTTGAATCAACACGTGAAATATCAGCAGTCGGGTCATGTAAGAAGTTAGACGTTGGATCAGTGCAGCAGTTCAGAGAACATTCTTGGTGTCATAACATGTGATTAGTACCCGTAACTTATCTTTCTGGGACGCTCACGTTAGTTATTAAACGCAGTTGCCTGTCAGCATTGGTGTGTGTTTGTGTGTGTGTGTGTGTGACTTGTTTATCTTGTTCACCTTAATCCTTGACAACTTTGTTTTTTTTCCAAAACCCTCACTAACTTTGAAGAACTTTGTGAAAAGTATTTTCCTAAACCTGCTGGTACGTTTACCTGCTAAATGCGCACATGTAATTAAAGTTAATCTGCCAATCAATTGAAGGCAAAACTCCTGGTAATCGTTAAATACTTTATTGAGAACTCGTTGTCCCAGTACTTGTTCCTAACTCCAAATTTCACAGTAACCGTTACTGGTGTCGTCTTCAGCGATGTGCTATATGTTTTTAGCCAACACATAGCATCAGTGCGACATTCTGCCTCATCATCATCAGTGTGGACTTGTTTGGACCGTCTGTGTCTCTGCCTTTGGCCCGCCTGTCTGACCGTCTGACCGTCTGAATTCTCACTGGAGTTCCTCCTTTTCCTTCTACAGTCTGAAAAAAATGAGTTCCTGAAACCGTTGTTTACTAAGGTGAACTAACAACTCCGTCACGACTCGAGGATTAGTCATAGTGCATATTAATGGCGCTAATTTAACACCAGCTGTTTTAATGTGGCCAAAAGGAGAAAGTGATATGAGAGCTGATGTGTGGGGTGGTCCCCTTTTAAATAGCTACCTAATTTTATCAGCTTTGTGAAGGTCAAGTGAACCTTGTGTGGTCTTCTTGATTTTATTTGCTCATTCAGTCACTCGGCATAGACTGTTAAAAAAAAAAAACTTAGATGATTACTTTATATTTTTAATGTAATTAACAGTGAGAAATCAAATGCTGTGTCCTGACCATTCAGTTACTGCTCTTTAATATTCCTATAAACCATATCACTTCACCCAGAGCAATACCTGTTCTTTAACTGTGAAATTAAACCATGATGAAACAGTTTATATATAAAAGTTACATCAGTGATTCCCAAAGTGGAGGGTGGGCCCACCTAGGGGGCACAGAGCTGTTACACAGGGGGGTGAGGGCCTGTGTGTGCACAGAGCCAAATGACCTTTGATACGTTTTATTTATTTTTGCCACAGTGTGGAAATTACAATTGTGTATGATTTATATTTGCTCTGTTCACTGAGAATATCAGTTTTGTAGGGATCGCAGTGGAGTAGCTGAAGCAGTAGCTGTGAATGTGTTGACGGGGGGTGGCGGGGGGCGGGGGGGGAGCGGTCTTGGAACCACTGGTCAAAACATTGTTTGCTGTGAACATGTAGAAGAGATTCTTGTGGAGCAAAATATAAAAAGAAAATACTTACATGTTATATATAACTATAGAGCAGTGCTGGAAAAAAAAGATTTATTAGAACTTAAATGGCATAAATGTCATTGGGGATCAAAGCTTTAAGGGATTTAGGGGTGATGAGAGGCTTTAAAGCGGTGGCCCTTTGTCCTTGATAGTGC